CGTGTTTCAAGGAAGTAAAATTATTTTTCAATGCCCCCAAGCACCGAGGCAGCGTGTGATGACGCACATCTTTGTACCGCCATCACACGCAACGCCAGTGCTTGGAGGTGGTGAAAAATAATTGTGCTGTCTTGAAACAGGCAAGAAGAGCAACATAATTGTAAAATATTCGAGGAAATAAGCATGAGTGATAAGTGTATTGCATGCACAGTGCCAAAGGCGCTCATATTGGCCGAGGACGCTTTCAGTACGATGATTCTCTATAGCGATCTTGGTGCGACTGGTTTCAACGACCCTTTCGAAACTTCGAAACGATCACCATGGCAACCGACAGCGATAAGCCAATCACATTGAGAGGTTTTGTCGTATTTATATTGGTATTTGTTTGCGTCCGGCTACACTCTAAAAAAGTCCATGCGTCTACTTTCCCACACAACACTCGGAGAGCCAACCACCGCAACTTACGGATCCAACTCAACGAATGACGATGCGCGAAACATCTGTTTAGACCAAAAAACACAGTCTGAGTTGTGAAATTAAGCAATGCAAAACGTCACGCTTGCATTGCTTAATGTCACAACTCAGTCTGCGTTTTTTGGTCTAAACAGATGTTTCGGCATCGTCATTCGCTGAGCTGCCTGCGTAAGTTGCGATGATTGGTTCTCCAAGTGTTGTACGTGAACGTAGACGCAGAGACTTTTTTTAGAGTGTAGCAGGTGGGAACACAATGGAGCTACTTTCCAAGCTCCAGTGACTTTACCGACGCCGACGCCGACGCAGCACTTTCTGCGACTCGAGCTCGTGAACGCTGTCGCGTTAATAAACCCTTTCCGAAAGTCAGCTTACCCACCCCTGTGCGGAGCCAAAACGCTCTAATTACGAACGTCTTCGAAATATAGTGCAGAAAGGGGGAAAGATGCTGGCCTTTTACGACAAATTCGGTTCACGAAATCGAGGGAACTTGAGTTTTGAGCCACCGCGGCGTGTTCCCACCGCGGCGGCGAAAGCCACTCCATCGGGACATCTTGCCACTCACTGCAGTCGTTGCCCATGTGCCTGTCATTTGGCGACACCAGGTTTCTGGCTAGATACCCGGATGGGGTTTCTGGAGAACTGCATGAAGTCTTCAAAATCCAGGCAAAGGGCAAGAAATGCGTAAGTGACACGTCCCTTTCCTTATCGGGGATCGAGTATTCATTCTTGTTACGGGGGTTAAACAGATATTAGGAGAGAGTATGTGTTAGTTCGAAGCTATATATTTCATTGTTTTCACAAATAAAAACCAGTTGCGAGTAGCGCTCTTGTCTGTTTCCTTCCTTGTCCTTGTATTTTTTGCGCTTCTTTACGCGTTACAGAGCTCCGTTAGCATTCTGCAAATGTAACAAAATATTGGTGTCGTCACTTGCCATGACTGACGGACGTTACTTTTACGTTACTTTGTTGTTATTTTGTGTTTCACTGTTAGCGTACGACAGCTGTTAGTTTATGACTTTACAGTCTCAACCACAAACGTCTCCACAAGTTTGTAGAACACTTCTTGACAAACGGGAGCTTGATGCATACGGTTGATCTTCCCCTGCTTCAGCAAGGGCTGTCGGGAAAGTGGGCTGTAGTCTCGGTCTTCCGTTTCTTTGAAATTACCGTGAACTCGGATAGCTTTTGCGAACGGAGGGACTGACGGAAAAGAAAAGTTAGGACTGGTGCAAAGCACCGCTGTTAATTTCTAGTTATCAGTTATGTGGAACAACGAACTAGTAAATCAATAAACAGCATCACGAATTAGTAGAGAAAAAACTGTTTGGATAAATCACAATCTTAATCAAATATCAAATAGGCGCGTTTATATATAACTGCCATGACTGATTTAGCCTCGTTCTGAAATATACAAGTAAACTAATCTAAGCCGTTTTCGAAGACTTTTCGCTAGCTTACTTTAACGAGCATTCTGAGATGTAGCTGAAAAGCTGCAACTAAACGATGTCGAAAGAAAGGTGAGTTGTTTTGGCTAAGAAGGCTTAACGATGACATTTTAACGGGAAAAAAGTATGTTACATTGAAGAATAATTCACCTTAATGTGCTTTTTCAAATTAGAGTTCGACGTCTTGGATGTGCTCAGCAGCTTGAGTTTCGGCATACAATGGAGACGTTTAAACAGCAGATTGTCTGACCTTGTTTTCCTCAGTTCAAACATAGCACTTGGCCCGGGCCATTATAACGAAGTTTCGGTGGCCGTTGCCATCTTGCACGAAAAGTGAGTGCGAGATGGCAGTAAAAGTAGCTTTTATAACAAAACTTCCAAAACGGCCTTGTTGGTTAGAGGCGGACGTTTCATGACGGAGGCAACTGTACAGTACATGGACTGCTCACAAGCAACACACCTCATAGCCACACCGGTTTTACTCCCAGTCCGGTTTAGGCTACACAAGCAAAAATGCGATCAAATGCGAGCTACTGCAATGAAAAATAATTCAGCCATATATAGCAGAAAATGTTCGCGCGAGGTCACGTGGTTGTAACCTCACAAGTGGCGTCAAAGCCACGTATGACGTGACGCCAAATGACCTTGCGCAGGAATTTCATACAACACACAACGCTCACGTGTGACGTCACGTGACACGTGTCACCATGGAGCTTGCACTCACCGAAAGATCAGAACACAACAAGAACGAGTAGCTTGCGATCTTCACGAACTAAAAGGCCTTATACAGCTTCAAACCTTAAAAAAGGCAACACCACTCGCGAAAACAATTGCCCAACTTATATGCAATATGGCAAATCAAGGAAACACCACCCACTTGTAATGGAGCCCATTTATTTAAGGAAACACGATGACGCATAACAAACGATAACAATAGATCCGCACAAGTGTGCACGAAACAATACTCAAAAAGTGGAGAAAAGCAATAATTGCCGCCCCGAAACCACCTCTAGATTGCCACATCTCATTGCAAAAAACAATTCACGGTGTAAAAAGCAATTTTTGCTGCACAGGTTACGAAATGGCTGCACAAACATCTACATTCCTTTGCACCTTATTTGACGAGTATATTCTCCAAGACTATCCCCAGTGCGACGTGAAAAAAGCCTTCAGCATTCTTTTTTGGGCACGCCCAAAATACGCAGGACTAAACTCAATAAACAAGTTATATTTCAGAGTAACGACACTTACCCGTCTTGGGACTTAAACTTATAGTTGCCATATATCTGCAGCTCTATCTTAGAGCATAAAAAACGCTTTTCCGTCCTTTAGAAATGTTTAAACGGTTTGCGACAGAGCAAATCAATATTATATGAGCTTCCTAACGCCGAATATAATGCAGAAAAGTCGCACTTTTGAATCATAACGATCGGCTGCTGCGTCTGATCTGCATTAAGCACCAAGATGGCGGCGCCCACAACAATACCGGGAACACACTGCCGTTACACTCTACGTAGCCGATTAGTGGCTCTATGGACAACCCATGAATTATCTTCAAAAGCAAATAATATCGGCAACCAAGATGCTCAAAGTCTCTTCTCACTCATAGGACCACGAACGACCAGGATTAAGGTTTTCCAAGCCATATTTGATTTTCTCAAGGCCCCGGAGCTTTCATCGTTGCTCACGCACCGACTCCCGAGTCCCAGGCAGAAAGCCCTCTTTCTCTTCTCGATCACTCATGGTTCTTCCCCTCCCCAAACGGAACGAGAAATCTAACCATACATCAAGAGCCTGACCAACCGTTCCGCATTTCCTATCTTTTTCCACCTAATTTTATCAATAAACCCACTCACTGAAACAGCGAACACTGAACTTTTTCAATTCTGAGGTCAAGGACCAGGCGAAGAGCAGAAGGGGTCGAGAAATCGCAACGGCCAGGGTCTTCCGGGGTAACAATAGGTACGAAGTCACCTAAGCAGATTTTTTCGTTTTAAGTTCCACATTTCATAGATTGCACCACCAGCCACCATCAGGCCCGTGCTCTCAGGCTGGTCGCCCCGGGCGTTTGAGCCCCATGTTGTTGAACCCTCATAGAGAAAGTAAGGATCGAGAAATTCAACGTCTCAGACGTCTCTTTCTCCCGGAACTTTTCCCGCCTTCCCGGGCTCTAGCCGTCACCACATCTAATCGACGTGTGAGATCCCGTATTTTCAGCAGGCCCGCGTGGGCCCTGCTTCTCTTCTCATTATTTTGTGGGTTTTCCTCTCTCTGAATCACAACAGAAGGTGTGAGCTGTGTCGGGGCATACGTCACGGAAACAGGCATTGTGCTTGTCGTCAGGCGCCCGTCACTTACTTGTGGTTCGCGAGAAAGATGTGGGCAGGTGACCTCTGAGAGCCATTCAAGCAGCGCCGAAAGAGGATCTGGAAGGGCACATGGGCTGATCCAGCTTCGACGATAGGGAGGCCTCAGCGAAGCTGGGTTGCGGGTGAAGCCTCCGCAGGATGCACGAAAATGGACAGACAAGATATCCTTAAAAGGCGCCTACCGCATACTGTTGAGTGGCAGGAGGCAGAATTGGGGTGCAGTGTTTCCTCGTAATCAGCTTCAGTCATTTTCCATGGTCCCGGGTGTAGCTTGGGGCATAGTAAAATGACAGATGCGGCAGGTTCCTGCCCACAGCAACCAATAAAAAATGTAAAAAATAGCACCAAGAATACAACGGGCGAGAGAAGCTTATTCACTTCGTTCACATTTTCTGTCTTGTATAGGGAACCAACGTGTCCTTGTGGTGATAGCTGGCTACCGGCGATTGGAGAGGCATTATCAGTATACAGGAGGTTATGAGTCAACATATGAGGCACTACTTTTAAGAAACTGGCAAACGCAAGTCGTCTAGACTTATATAATTGTAAATAAAGCTGACTGTTGAATGCGCATTTGAAGAGAACAAAAAACAATAACTTTATGGCTTTCATGCATGAGTCTTCGCTTTCTCCACTGCAGATTTGTTTAAGCAGTGGATTTGAAGAACTCCCTCAGAAGTATTCCTTATCCACTTTGGTTTCGCGTACACTCTCAGTGCAGATAGTCCCTGAAGTCGTACCCGAACATCTCGAAGTCGAAGAAGAACCGCTCATATAAGCGCATCACCTGATCGAAGGTGAGCTCTTTAAAAAACTCTCGGGCAGACTTGCGGTACGCGTGGTCGCCACTCTTGTTTTCGTGCGGAATGTCCTTTGGCTGAACACCTAGCGCTTCAAAGAACAGCGCAAAGTCCCTGCTTGCTGTCTCCAGCTTTCCGACGACCTCGTACTTGACGGTACAAGGCTGACACGTCACGTGGTACGGAGCCCAATGAGAATCCATCTCGTTCTTTCTCTGATTCAGTATGTAATCAATGAACTCCGGGAAGGTCAAGTTTCGACCCGTTGCCCTGACACCAGGCACGTCGTTCCAGTACCGCTCGTAAAAATAGTCATTGACAGCACGTGGGGCTAGTGCCTTGTCCACGTAAGCGGATACAAGCCTCTCGAAGGGATGCCTCACGAACATGGCGGTTGTGTAGTGCTCCTCGTTGCTCTTTTGTAGGAACGTCATGGGTGAGACTGTGCGGACCTGCTCATGAAATGCCCTGTGAAAGCTGTCAACTGTATTTGGCGTGTTTATTTATTTATTTATTTATTGTACATACCCTCAAGCGCCGAAGCATTGTAGAGGGGAGGGGCAAAGCAAAATAAAACAAACTGACAAAGCAATAAAAAACAAACAACAAGAAATTGAAATATCAAAAACACACAGCCATTGGCAAAAGCGGCAAGCAATATATTTTACGGAAAAAAATAAACAAAATAAAATGACTCATGTTGGCTCACCAAACAGAAATGTAGACAAAGATTGGCGATAAAGAGAATAATCAGGTATAGTTGCGATATCTGCTGGAAGGTGGTTCCAGTCGTTTGATGTATGCGGGATAAATGAATAAAAAAAAGTGTTTGTTTTGCAACGTGTTAATCCAACTTTATTCCGATGGTCCAGACGGGAAGAGTAATAGCTAGGCAGTGTAAAGAAATGGTCTCGCAGCGACTGATGATGATACACTTTATGAAACAGGCAAAGTCGAAAAAACTTTCTGCGCAATGACAAAGAGGGTAACAATAAACTGGATTTCATTGATGATATGCTAGCTGTTCGATTATAATTAGACAGAATGAAACGAACGGCGTTGTTTTGAACTAGTTCGAGAGCTTTATGCAGAAACGTGTGGTTAGGATCCCAAATAGAGGCTGCGTATTCCAATTTTGACCGTACAAGAGTGTTATAAAGAAGAAGTTTTAAGTTAACTGGGGCCGTTCTGATGTTTCGTCGTAAGTATCCTAACATGCGGTGAGCGTTGGCGATTATTATATCAATATGAGGCTTCCAGGTTAATGTCGACGATATAGTAACACCCAGATAACGGTACGAGTTTACAGATTCAAGTTGAATGTCGGTTAGTGTATATTTTGAAGGGCGTGCGCCTTGCCGGGAGACGCGCATTAGTTTGCATTTGTTAGGGTTTAATTCCATACGCCATTTTTTGCACCAAAGAGTAATATTATTTAAATCAGATTGCAAAATGCGTACGTCATCATCATCATGAACTTCCCGATAAATTACACAGTCATCTGCATATAAATGCATGGAGGAAGAAACACAACTTGGTAAATCATTAATGAATATTAGAAAAAGAAGCGGGCCTAAAACTGAACCTTGGGGTACGCCCGATACAACATCAGTCAGGGATGAATTAACGCCATTTAGAGTTACATATTGTGAGCGGTTGGTTAGAAAGCATTCCAGCCAGGTTAACAAGTTAGGATCTAGGCTTAATGAAGAAAGTTTAAGCATTAGTAACTTATGATTAACCTTGTCGAATGCTTTAGAAAAATCGAGAAAAATACAGTCAGCCCGATGGTTTTTGTCCAGTATAGCATGCAAACAATGGGTGAAATGAAGCAGCTGCGTTTCACAAGAAAATGAGCGACGGAAACCATGTTGAGCAGGAGCGAAAAATGAATTGGATTCTAAGTAATTGCTGATGTTGAGCAGGAGCCCGAAGATGGTCTTCACAGTGGTGGATGGAACCTTGCTGATGAAGCAGTAGCCGACTTTCCGTGCGGGGTCGATGATGATCGGACATCTTGTGATGTGGCACAGGTCGGGCCGTTCGTAGCCGAAGTTGCGATCCACCAAGGTCACTTTGTACTTGCGACACACTTCGTTGATTATTTTTGCTCTGGATGCGAAGTCATCGTCGCTACGTCTGGAAGTCTGCGGAAACAAAAATAAAGAGCACGGAATTAACAATCGACACGGGAAGTGCAAAACTGTTCTGGGCGGAGATGGTATACATTGCGGAGTGCGGGCCTTGCGCCCGCGTCCTGAATCTGTGCTCGAAGAGTCGTCACGAGCTCCCGCTGTGTACGCAAAACCCTTGCGTACGATCTACGAAAAGTCCTTGTTATCTAGAACCTATTGTAGGGTCAAGTGTATGCACGTCGATTTCATGAACGCTTTTAGACAACGAAAGCTGAAATTTTCTAGGATACCAAGCAAAAGCGAAACAAAACTATATATTTCGTTCCCTGTGCGACAAACATGAAATCGGAAAACGGCCAACGAAAGTTTTATTCAAAGGAGTCCCGTCAGAACAACACTTGGAATATCTTCAGAAGAAATCGGAATCGGGATGACCACTATGCTCGCTGAGAGGATGGGAAAGGCAGGGCGTTTCTACGGATGCCGGGACATCAGCACGCGCCCATTGGCTTCCACCGTGCTTCGGCTGCATGTGCAGGCTCGAAGCTCACAAAACGCTGGAGCATTATCGAAGGCAGGAAGCTCGCTCGGGAGGCGGGACAACTGAGGGGCCTCCCTGACGTACTCATCCTGTCAGTGACCATAGCGGCAACACTTAAGGGCCCTACGCACATCTGCGTTTGAGCGCGGTGCGTTCCGTAGGAGCAAGCGGACGCGTTGCGTTGCGAAGAGTGCTCGCGCCAAGCTTGTACACACATTTGCGCTGACACGCAGTGAACCGCAGTCAAGAGCCAATAAGAACGCGCTATCGTGACTATCGGCGTAAGCGAAATCTACGGCAGCATGGCGGCGCTCAGCGACAGCGTCGAAGTGTTCGATCTTGGGAAAATCCCGGTGGCCTTCCCGACATTTTGTCGAGCTTGAACCATCGCAGCCTTGCACAAAGCAGTCCCCACCGCTTCACAAAAAGAAAAAGCGAGTTCTGCGAGCGGAGGACCAAATACACCTCGCCGAGTGGGGCGAACGAACACGTCACCATCTCTCTTGGCTTCTGATTGGTCGAACGCACCGCAACGCTTCGGAAAGTTGAGAGATGCCCTACTCGCTTGCGTCGCACTACCAAGCGCAACGGAAAGGCGCCCGTCACACCGCAAGCGACCGCTCCTGTTCGCAAGGACGTCGCAACGTACTCAAACGCGTTCAAACGCCAATGTGCGTATGGGCCTTGAGTATTACCTGCTCTCTGGTCGTGCCGCCGGATGGTGGCACTGGGCAAGAAGGCGGCCGTTCAAACCAGTCAAAATATGCGAGCGAGGCCACAACTGCTGCGCACAAAACCACCAAGGCACTTTTGCTCACCGTACAAGTCGACATCTTAGACATGGGTGTACACTCTGGGGGACTCCAAGTTTGTGGGCGCTGCCCCGGAAGAAGAATAGAGCGCATCGACGTGGACGCAATCTGCTTTGTTGAACATGAATGACGTATACAGCTGCAACAAAGCAAATGTCTCTTCAAATGCTCACGGCTGTGCGAGACATGTGCCGCATTGTTTAGGTAAGCACGCCACAATCCACGAAACGCCTGTGCTGGGGAAGGGGAGAGAGTAAACAATGATATTGTAGTGAGTGCGCAGGTGAGCTGGTGGAAATTAATCATTCTGATGTTAGCCTGAGACTGAGGCAGGAAAAGAGGAAGTTTTAAAGTAGACGAAAAAATGAACAGTCGAGACGTATCCTCGACTGTTCGTTTTTTCTTCTACTTTGAAACTTCCTCTTTTCCTGCCTCAGTCTCAGGCTAACATCAGAAAGAGTAAACAAGTCAACCATTGACATCTATTGGATGTACCCGCTTTATCCAAACGTCCAGATCCAGATGCAATGTTCTGAGGATGATCTATGGATAATACAAATTAGACAATGTACGAAACGGACATCCAAAATACGTCGCCTGGACAGGTTGCAAATACCTTTTGGGGATGCTGAGATGCTGATATGTGCACATACTATAGACGTACCATGGATATTTGCTGCGTTTCGTCATTAAGTTTCATTCCCTCACTTTTTCTCTTTTTTTTAAATATGAATAAAACACCGACCTTGGCAGTCACCACGAAGTTAGGACTGTTTTCGGCGACATTGTGTATCGCGTTCACATACAAATCGCTTTAATTTAGTATTAAAAAAGGAGATTTTATACTTTTTTTAACATTTCCATCAAGGTTTGGGGGGCACCGGGTAAGGCTAGTTGGTTCGAGAGCACAAGTAAAAAGTAACAGAGGCTGCGGAAGGTACTTGTACAAAATGCTACTTTGCGATCCTGCACACCCGAAATGTGCGTCCATGTGTGCTGCTCCTGCATGCGCGTGTGAGATACGGGCTCATACTAATAGCGTGCCGTACGGGCAGTGGCAGCACAACGTGCTTTTCTAGACTGCTTCTCCCAAATCTAGTGCAACGAGTGCAGAGCGTGATTTAGCGAAAATGAGTTATCCAGAAAAAGCGAAACTTTTTCTGGATAACAAAGAGCATCAGTGACGTCATCAGTGACGTCACTAGTTCAGTGACGATGACGATCCGGATGCCGATGACGTTATCAATGACGATGCGGATGCCGATGACGTCGTCAGTGACCTCAGTGATGACGCCATTAGGGACGATGACGATGCGTATGCCGATGACGTCATCAGTGACTTCACGCGTTGCATAATGCACCGCGCGGTTACGCCGACGGCGACGGCGACGGCGACGCCTCTCAAGCCGGAAACGGGCGCCTAAGAGCTGCGCTCTAAACTAACGTGGGAAAGAAAGAACTCGCAATCGACTATTGACTACTGTTTAATGTCGCGGAAGCTATACAACAGATTAGTAGGTATGGAAATAGATTAGGAAGGCACAAAATGTCTGGGGAGAGACCATAAAAGAATCAAAATCACATTTGGCACAGTAAAACCAGAAATGCAAAATAAAAAACAGAAGGGTAGAAATAACTTAAGTGATAAACAATTACAGGGCAATCTAAGCGAATCGAGAACATAGTATCCAAGCAACCGGAAAGAGAATGGACATTTCAAGACTTAGTGTTTTCAAAAGGGAGTTAGAGAAATATAGAATCAAACAAGGGGGAAGAAAACTAAAACGCAGGCTGAAAAGCTGGATTGGATTGGAAAATCTCTTCATTCTATCGGCCATTGGCCTAGCACGACTAGAGAGTATTAGAAAGGACGAGTGGGGCGACCGGAGTAGACCGTAGCGTTGGCTACGCTTCGAACTAAGGTAAAGCAAAGCAAATATTCATATCTTAGGGTTTTACAAGCCGATCCAATAAAAATCACCTAACGCGCTCCAATAAGAAAAAATTGCGGGTTCATTTTAACTAAATGGAGGTCATTGGACGTGCAACCGAAATCTCAGATTGGCTTCCGTCAGATTGCGGGGACCTCGGCCGGTATTTAAACCCGACAAATATGGATTCATGGGGCACGGCGTTGGCTCAGAGGCACTGAGGCGTTTTAATGTTTTGTGTTTTGTTTTGATATCATTGCCACTTAAGAGCCACCGAGGTCGTTTTTTAAAGAGAATATAGTCGAACTATTCCGACAAGCATAGTTTGATTGCGAAAATGATTTTTACAAGTGACAAAAATAATTCAAATGTTTCGGCATACCTGGGGGAATCCCAAATGGCGGAATCCCTTTCACGGCGCCGATTTCATTTGGATCGCGTCCGGCATGTGTGCCGACGAACTGTAGTAGAACGGGCGCAAAAGCAGCTGTGGTGCACCCGCAGCCTCGCGCTTGCTGTTCTGACATCTCTGGCTCGCTCACTGCGGGCATCCAGGCCATAGAGTTAAGGCCTGTTCACACATACAGCGGAGCGCTAAGTTAGCGCTACGTGAGCGCTCCAAGGAGCGCTCATGTGGCGCATCCAGCGCGTGACTTCGTTCTGATAGAGCGCGTGGTTAGCGCTTTTAGTAGCGCCTTGTTAGCGCTCCAGTAGCGCCTTGTTAGCGCTTCAGTAGCGCCGTGTTAGCGTGTCATTAGCGCTTCTTGTACCGCGGTGCTGCGGATTAGCAGGTGCACTGCGGTTTCGGCTCCTGTGGTTGGGTGTGCATCAGCAGCACCATGGCGGACATGTGGGATGCTGTAATAGAAATGCGAAAAATGCTCTTACATACGCGATTAGTGCATATCAGTGTGGACGGCTTAACTCCCAGAAGAGCCTTCTGGATGCGCGAAATCTTTCGCCTCCGAGATACCGACGGGTACCCGGCGAACCTTGTTCATAGGCTGAGGGACCGAGACACAGAGCTCTTTCGAAGGCGATTATTTTTACCTGCCTGTCCTTGAAACCAGCGTCACACATATCGAATTGAAAGCTATGAGGTCGTACCCAATCAATTAGTCGCTCAGAGTCCATGAGTCTGGGTCGCCTGCCCGACCCTTCTTAGAGAGCGGCTCTTTTACTTCCATTTCTTTCAATGCCAAAGGAAAAACAAAAACCAAGGGATCGCCGCGCACGCGCTATTCCGCAGCACCAAGCTCCGCACAAGGGGCGTGAGAGCGCTAACAGAGCGCTTCTGTAGCGCTAACAGAGTGCTAACAAAGCGCTTCTGAAGCGCCAACAGAGCGCTACATCACGCGCCAGGAAGCGCCACATGAGCGCTACTTCGAGCGCTCACGTAGCGCTAACGTAGCGCTCCGCTGTATGTGTGAACCGGCCTTTATTGGAATGAACGCTAGAGGCTCTGCTAGCGCTAGTGTCTAAGGGACTTCCGGTTGCAAATTGAAGCAAACAGCATGCAGTCTACTTTTCCACGCTTCCTGTGTATTCCTATGGGAAAATGTAGGTGGGTGATTTCAGATAAGATCGACCAAAGGATGGCTAGTCGACATTTTCAAATCAACTGATGTTTTTATATGTTATTGTCTAGTGTCTGGTATGAACGAATCCAAACTTAGTTTTGACTAGAAAAAATACTTGGGGACAGGAAAAATCGTAATGCATGAGGTGGTGGACAGTTGCATTAACGCGCACTGATGGAGGGGGCCCGTTTGAGAGTGAATAACTAAAGCGATAACATTAGGAGAACTCTAATACGTTTTAGGCGCAAACTATGGGTATATCTTGCTTGTAATATAAAGTAATCATATTTATTTAAAATTTATTTATTTTTCTAAAAATTGACAAACATGCCTGCTCGAACGACAAATGGCAAACTTTGGAGGTCTGTATCTCATGAAATAATTTAATCGTTATGATATAATTTGCAGATATTATTTTACTAATATATAGCTAATATTTAAGAAATAACTAAGGTATCTGTGTGATACAATAGTTAGGATATATTTAGTCAAACATGGAAAAAAAATCAAACAAAGAAAAATTCCGATGCGAATTAAAAAAAACACCACTCTCGATTTTTTTTAAATTTAGGTAACCTGTTATACTCTATTTCGGCATTCATTTCCATTAAAAACATGTTGCATCATTGTATTGAGAAAGAAGATACAACTCCCCAAAGTAGGGTCCTTTTTCAAAGCCTACACTTAGCAGTGTTTTATACAAGAACTGACTCTGAGTTCCAGTTTCATGAAACCAACACACATGTTTTATATATTTTTATTCAGATGAGGCCAATGATAACTAAAGAAATCGTTCACACACTTAAATTAAGGAGAAACTACTGTGTACAAAGAGGTATCATATTACGGACTAGTGATCCGAGAAAAGATCATGCAGCCATCGGCCACTAGGAACTTTGTTTACTTTATTCTCCTGCGACACTATATGCTATTCCCTCTTCCGCTCTACCTTCATCTCTCTCTCTCATATATATCCCTGATATATATCCAGAACAAAAACATGTTCAAGCATTCCCTTTCTGCGTGGTAGTGTTCTGTGGCTAGCAAAAATCATTTCCTCGCTAAGCTCACGATTATGGCAAAATAGTTGCCGGAAACCGTAGACGACACTCGTCGCTAGTTCTGGCAAAACGACCGATACAATCTTTTTTTCGCATTTCCCCGCTCGCTGTCAAGCACAAGGGGGTTCGCTTCAACCAGCAAAACATGGCCGCCGACGCCTGTTTACTGAGCAGTCATGCCTGTCGCCATCTCACTCGCTGGCGTCACGGGCGATAATATAAGGCACAAAGGGGCACACCAACCGGCAGTATTATCCCCAAATACTCGAGCCTCGCGTAAATACATAGAGTGTAAACGCTGTCGCCATGTTATCGTAGTAAGACCGCCCCCCCCCCCGTCCCCCAACGGGGGACTGCAGTACGCGACGGCGTACTAACGCAACGGCGACGATATCGACATCGCGGGCTCCGAATTTTCCCATAGTTCTACTCTACGGGCATTTCTCGAA